TGAAAGGCTGTCGCAAGTGTAGCAATGAAGGGTGTGCATACTCTACCCTCTCGGCTCTGTTTATCTCACTCAGCCCATGCCTCACCCACACCCACTCACCTCCGCAGTGATGAAAGGCTGTCGCAAGTGTAACAATGAAGGGTGTGCATCCTGTGCTATCCAGCCCATGTATGACCTCCCCGGCCGGTTGGTTGACCCAGACGAGTTCCTACCCCCCACCCTCAGCACCAGAAAGGACTTTGTGTCCCATATTGAGGGCCTGAAGCATCCCGGGGTGGTGCGCATACGCTCCGTGAGTCACTACGAGCAGCTCTATGCCAAGCGCAAGCTGGTCTATGGGTGAGTGCGTGTATTGCACGCATCTGTGCGTGTGGGTGGCTGTGGGTGATTTGTATATATACACCTGCGTGCATGGGTATTGTCTTATGTATACACCTGCGTATGTGTGTAAGTGTGTGTGTGTGTGTGACTTGCTATATATCTGACTGTACATGTCGATGTTGTTCGATGCATACATGTGAGTAAAGTATATGTACATATCTATATCTATCTATATATATATAAGTGTGTGTATGTGTGTTTAGCCACGCTTAATCCAGTGCACATTGTTCGTCGGCATAGGAATTACAGTCAAAACAAAAGACAAGCTCGGAATTTTGTCCTGATCCACCACCCAAAAATATTATGCATCAGGTGCATCCGCAATGTGGACCACATGTTCATCGCCGAACGTAAACAGAAACTGGGGTGCCGCCAATGCAGACATCTGAATGACACACCCAACAACGATATGGACAACAACCAAATGGCCTCGGAGCACAAACCCACGCGCGACCTCAACTACATCAGCGTCAAGAAACCCTGCCGACACTGTGAGGACGAATGTGATAGGTGTGCATATACATGTCTGCACGCAGAGATGTGTGTGTGTGTGTGTGCATTTGTTGGTATGTATAAGAGTGTGTGTGTATATATGTTTGTACGATTTAAGAGAAAGATGTTTGTGTGTGCATGTGTTGGTATGTAAAAGAGCGTGTTCATATATATATATATATCTGTCCGATTTAAAAGAGGTATGTGTGTACATGTGTTGATATGAAAAGGGTGTATTCATATATATGTCTGTACGATTTAAGAGGTATGTGTGTGTGTGTATGATAGGTGTACATATAATATGTCTGTACGCATAAAGGTGTGTGCATATGTAGGGACAAACCGGCATGGCATTTGTTTTCCTTATTTAAACCTTGCGGAGTCGATTGTATCTCTATATTTGGCCCTTCAAAATGTACTTTATATCCGCCGCAAGTATCAAGCCCTGTGACATTCTATTTATAGATTCGGCTTTCTTTTGTCAATACCAGGTGCGTTGTGCAGCCCATGTTTGAACTGGCGGGGCGCAATCTGTCCCATGTGCCCACTATCCCTGCGCACGTCACCACTAAGGCTGCCGCTGTGGCCTACCTGGACAGTCTAGAGATGGGTGTGTGTGGTGTGAAAGAGATCCATAAATAGCTATGTGAATACCACCGCACGTACATCATCACCACTACCACTGCCACTCACAGTGAAGGTTTGTATAGTGACACATATAATGAGACATACCTAAATATGGCCCAAGTGGGAGAGCTCGGTCTATTTGCAAAAGACATTACACCCGTGTGTACGTATTCATGTATACGTCTCGTGACTTCCGAGAAACATCTATACACATAACTGTTCAAGACACCCAACCATATGTCAACCCTCCTATCTACGCACACGTCCTTCTAAAGTTTAATCCCCGTACTCCTCAAGAGACTCTCCAAGTGTCTTACCTGCCACACTCACCCCCATCTCGGCGCACTCGACCGCCCCTATCCTCTCCAGCCGGCGAGAAGTGCAAGCGCATACGCACCGTGGAGCAATTCGAGAAGCTCTCCGAGAAACGCAAGGTGGTGTACGGGTGTACGGCCGATCTCAAGCACTTCTTCATAGCCGAGCGCAAGCAGAAGAAAGGCTGCACCCAGTGTACGATGAACCGAGAAATCGCCGATCTCAAGCAACGCTCCAAGAACTCCAGCCAAGGCCTGGGCACTGCCGAGCCGCTGATGATAACCAGTGGCAGTACCTCACAGATACATCTGGTATGTGTGCGAGCGGGTGTGGGTGGGTTTGGGTTTGTAAGACCATATATTATGTACATGTATACTACCTCACTAATACGCCTGGTATGTGTGTGAGCGGGCGTGGGTGCGTATGTGCTTGGGTTTGGGTTTGTAAGACCATATATTATGTACATGTATACTACCTCACAAATACGCCTGGTATGTGTGCGTCTGTGCTTGGGTTTGGGTTTGTAAGGCCATATATATTATGCACATGTATATACGTAGAAGAATGGTGCAAATCAGTTCAATCTGCCGTGTATGTTCCGAACTTCACGGGCCGGGACGTCCTGTCCACACTTCCCCACACACTCTCTCACTCCCACTCTCTTACCTACACACACTCTCGCCAGGTCATCCAACCCGGGTACTGCACCGTGGCGTGCGGCTGCCGTTTCTGTGGGGTCAATGGCTGCGCTAACTGCACTGTGCAGCCCATGTACCTGCTGCCCGGCCGAAACGCGGACGAGGACATGTTCGCCCCACCCAACCTACACCGAGACGAGGTGGTGCGTAATCTGGAGAGGCTTATCATGGAGAGTACCAATGGTGAGTGTGTGCACGGTGACACGGCTGGGTGTTTGGTTTCTGTGGCTTTGGCGGTGTAGAGTATGCTTAGGGAGGGCTTGGCTTGGCTTGCGGTTAGACGCACTCTAGGGCACTCCCGGCACACTCTGTTGCGGTGGATAGCCATTTGTGTTGGTATAGTACATGGCTCCCGATACACACTGTCTGATACTGCGCCACACTCACTCACCTGATACTAAACCACACTCACTCACCTGATACTAAACCACACTCACTCTTCCCGTGACCCATTCTCTGTTATTGCATCACACTCACTCACCTGATAAAACCCCACTCACTCTTCCTATAACACCCTCCTCTGTACACACAGGCGTGGTGCGTATAGCCAACGCCGATCAGTTCAAGGCACTCCCCGCCAAACGCAAGGTGTTATTCGGCTGCACCACAGACATCTCGCACGTGTTCATTGCCGAGCGCAAGCAACGCAGCGGTTGTACCAAGTGTAAGGCCCTGGGGCTCAAGGCAAAGCCGCAGGTGGAGCTGCTGCCCGGAGACGGGAGCACCATGCTACCTACCATGGACGAGCTCGGACCAACCGATGCGCCGAGTGTCGGCACGGGCATGCTGCCCGCGCAGATTCCCTTATATGGGCATCCGCAGCCTGCCTCATATGGGCAGCTGCGGGGGGCGGCCGTCCGCCCGCGTGTTGCCGATGGAATGGACGGTGTACGTCGCTGTGTGGCGGCGCTGTTGGGGTCACGTGACACGGCGAGTGCGAGTGGGTTGCTACTGAATGACTATTCACTGACGGAGCTGCACACCGTGTTTAATATGTACTCGGCTGCACATCCACGCTCCCGTACGTTCAATGAGGTGAGCTTGGTGGGGGGGGCCATATATCAGTAGCTACGT